ATGCTTCCGGCTGCGCACCGCTCTTCCTGCGGCGATTCGAGGGAATCGTACAACGTAATAAGCTCAAATGGCATCCAGGCTGGGGCCGGCGGGCGTGGGACGGGTCGGCTTCCTGGCTGCCCGTTCTCTCCACTCGCGGGGGTGTGGCCGGCCAGCGGTGTCTGACTCCGTGCCCAACTCGCCTGTGCAGCCGCATGCAGTCACCGGAGAGGCACCCCGTGACGCGTCATCACCCGCCGGCCGCCGCGGTTATCGGCCCCGGCCGCTGCGCCGCAGTCCGCGCCGGCCGGCCGGGCAGACAGACCCCGGACCGCAGCGTGGTACCGCACCGCGCTCCGTGGGGAGGTGGCCCCGGACAACGGACTGGGCGCTGAGAGATCGCGCCCGGCCGCTGCAAATTCGGAGCAGAGCTTGATTTTGTGATCGGGAGTGATTGCAGTCTGTGTTTGGATACTGACAGAGATCGCTTTGTACTTAAGACATGTACGCAATACATGCTTGATTTTACGATCGCTGTGCGACTCGAGGAGTTCGTTTCGACGACTAACAAGCGAGGCCGCATGCCCAGCGAGTGCCAGAGCTATGGGGAAACAGGGTTCATTGGCCGGTGCGGTCGTCCCGTTTTCCAGAAGAGAGAGAGAGAGAGTGAGTGAAAGAGAAAGCGATGGACCGTCCAGTCCGTCCAGCCTGGAGTTGAGCCTTTCTGGGCGCAGCAGCCGACGTGCGCACTATCAGAAGGCCTTGATTTCGGTACCTAAATATTACCCCACCCCAACCCAGCTTCTTGTCTGTCCGTCACCGTTCCCGAAATGTATCTTAACAGAACGCTGTAATGTAAGCCGAGGCTGCGCAAGTGACATGTGTAGGTATGCTTATTACGACCAGTATCCACCCAAAATGGCTGTGTGTTCGCAATGTTTCGCTCCCACTTGCCAAAGCCATAAATCATTGCAAATTCACTAGCGTTGTCATTGAAATTGCCCAGATTCACCAATCACCGAAGTGTCAGTCTACAAAGCATCAATCTAATCCTGTGAACTGCCGATTCCCAGCTGCACGCGTAGCCCACGCCCTCCCTTGTGTTCAGCAAAGCTTGGGGCATGTTTGGCAGTGGTGGTCTGGTGGCGAGGCGAATGATGCCAGAGACGACTAGAAACCTGCTCAGGAGTAGGCAGCAGCACCAAACTCAATACAAGTGGTCATTCACTTGTCAGTTTTATCGTTCGACACCGGAAAGTGTGTGTGCGGGAGGACTTCGTGACGTCAGTGGTGACGCGTCTGGTCAGACTTTATCATATAGTCGGACACCGGATAGTGTGTGAGGCACTGTGACGTCAGTGGTGACGCCAGATAGGGGCGCTGTGACGTCTGGTCTGATTTTATCGGATAGTTGGACACCAAATGGTGTGCAGAAGAACGCCTGAATGTATCAAATATATTACGTGTTTTTCGTATAGAGGGAACAGCAGGAGCGGCCGAGACTATCGTTCTTCTATCGAGGGCGGAGAGATGTAGCCAGTATCTGTAGTTCGCATACGTGACCCTGCCAAAAGCGCTCTTACCCCCACTTTTTCGATGGATGGTAAAGAAACGCTTTCACAAAAGCGGGCTCTCAGAATCCACATGGGGATATTGCTGGCCATGATGCTGGACAATGCACGTGCGTTTGGGCACGTTTCATGTGTGCATGTGTCAAACACGTGTGCGTCCTATACGCGTGAGCGTGCATGCAGACCGTGCGCGTCGGTCCAAACCACTGCCGCGTAGCCACGAGCCGGCACGCGCGGGTGCGAGTGCGGACACGGTACAGAGGACCTCCCCATCGAGCTGTTGACGCACTGAAACTAGCTTACACCAGCACGATGAAGACACGCTTCGGCAGGCGGTTCAGTGTGTTGGTGGACACAGCGCAGAAGCGCATTAGATGCCGACCAGCTATCGTTTCGTAAAGGCGAGAGCGGATGTATTAGAAACGGCTAGTGATGTGTTCACCGTGCATGAAGGACTCCAAACCACCAACGATTTCCAGCTCCGCTGTAGTTTCTAGCGCCATAGTCGCCCAAAGGAACGCAAACACCTTTGTCACGCAGCCGGCTCGAGGGAGCTCTCGCACTGAGCGCTCCAGCGCAGAAATGATGTCAGCCGGGTTGTTAACTGGCCGCTCCGGTTGGCCGTTTTTCATATATCTCCGATTTCGCCGTGTGGGAAGGCGAACGGCGATGCGACCCCCTGGCGTTCCCTAAAAGTTGAGTGGAAAACATCAGTGGATTGGTCTCGACGAGATCTCGTGATTAATACTAGTTGTCATGTTGTTAGATCTGTCATTGACTACATCATATCAGATCAAAGGTCAATTTATCCAAAAAATCGTACTTTTCAGCTTTACAACATCGTTCAAAAGTGCGTTCTTTTCACACGTCGTACATCAGTTTTGTGTCACCATGCCTCCTGGTGAGACGAAACTAAAGTAGGCGTGTTCCTTGTTCAATTATGAGTACAGTTGTGTCTATTTTTGTGTGTTATGATATATTTATGACATATGGTTCAGTGGAAGTGAGTGTTCCACATTTGTATGGGGTTTTGAACAGCAAAAGCCATCTTGAAAATCATTCGGTGCATTTCACAGCCCTCATGATAACGTCATTAAAATCCTGTCATTCCGTTTGTCATGCGCCGATCAAGGCCGTGGAAATATCATTGTCGAGGCGTTCATATTTGACGTTCGTTCGCACGATGTCCAGATATGACGGCCGTTAATTGGTTCTCAATAAATGTTTGCAAGGTACGGTGACAGTCCAACAGTGACGTATTAAGGAACATATGTACTGAACAGAGAAGTCGTGCTGTCTAGAGCAGTCATTTCGACTTGAAATACATCAACAGCTAGCAGTGAGCTTTTTCATCTCCGGTCGCCCGCGCCGCCGTAGATCGCCATGCATTGTTCCCAAAAAACCGGCGGTAATCCGGAACCAGAAAAGCTAGGAAAACGCTTCTGTTGTCAAAACACACGCAATTTGATGTCTATGGGCTATTGAAAGTTTGGGCACGACTGTACAACAAGCCGGAGAGGCATCCTCAAAAATCCTTAGAGTGTCGCATCGTTACCTGTCTGAGGGAGGGTTACATAATCTCGCACCCAGCGCCTGATGGGCAGACAGTTCGCTGGGCCGCCGCGCAGCGGTGATCGGGGTTTTTCCCCGCTGATGCGAGGTTTACATAACCGGCCGACAGTACTCCCACAAGAACGTCGTTTGCGCGAGGATGCCTCTCCCTTTAAAAATAACGTTATTTCAAATTGGACGAGGCATCTGTTGCTAGTTGCCGGACGACATGTCTACTGCCAACACGCATTCATTGAGTGATACGCTGTCGTAGGTCAAGCGAATACAATCGAAACAAAAATTCGACGCGTGCGTTGTGCTGGCTGGTGACGGACCTTTACCAGTGTCATCGAGTATACCCAACGGCAACCTTCGGGTTGAATCTCAGATATTCTCACGAGCAGCCGTGTTATGACCATCAGTCTACGTACAAGCTGGCCGCCGCTGGCAAAGCGCTGTCAAGCTGCCCCTTCAGACCCGCAGGCATTGAGTGATTGGCAGTCGGCGGGGCGACCAGATACAATCAAAACCAAAATATGACGCGTGTGTTTTGCTGGCAACTGATAGCTCTATACCGGCGCCATCGAATGCACACAGTGGCAGTTCTCAGTTTTCAAATAAACATTTTTCCTGGGCCGCCATCGTCATCACTAAATGTGCAGGCCGGCCACCGTTAGCTCTGCGCTGTCAAAGGGTGATTGGATGTCATCACTAAATATGTAGGCCGGCCACCGTTAGCCCCGCGCTGTCAAAGGGTGATTGGATGTCATCACTAAATATGTAGGCCGGCCACCGTTAGCCCCGCGCTGTCAAAGGGTGATTGGATGTCATCACTAAATGTGCAGGCCGGCCACCGTTAGCTCCGCGCTGTCAAAGGGTGATTGGATGTCATCACTAAATGTGTAAGCCGGCCACCGTTAGCTCCGCGCCGTCAAAGGGTGATTGGATGTCATCACTAAATGTGCAAGCCGGCCACCGTTAGCTCCGCGCCGTCAAAGGACGATTGGAGCAAAAAAGGTTATGTGCCATTGCGATATTTTCAATGTCGGTCGACACTGCTTCTACAATAACATCGTTATTACGAGATTGCACCTTCCGCGCAGAAGTACCAGTTTTTCAAATATTTTCACATAGCAATTATTCCGATACCATTTCTATCGAACGCACTAAGCCACGGTTTTTCAGCTTGATCATAAGTACTTTCCCGGGCTTTTCCCTGCTTTCTCGAAATCGCTGCATGCAGCGGCACGCCGCCGTTAGTTCTTTACTGCTAAGATGATTTGAACAAAAAAGGTGACGGTTACCGAATAAAAATTAGCGTTGCCGGCCGATGGCATTAATAGCATGACGTCATTACAGAAGAGTTGCACCTTCCTGACACAAGTAAAAGTATTTCAAGTTGGACGCCGTGTTTTTGCAAACAGCCTCTCCAACCAGCCGGCCTACATTGAGTGATGCGCTTTCGGGGATCGACGGGAGAAAGATTCGAAGGAGAAATCGGAGGAGTGTGTTTTGCTGGCAGCTGACAGGCATGTACGAGCGCCATCGAATGCGCCAGTCGCAATATTTGGGTATGTTTCTAAGCATTTTTCCCTGGTGGCCATATTATGGCCATCACTCTTCGTGCACGTCCGCCGCAGTTAGCCTTGTGGTCACGAGGTGATTTGAACAAAAAGGGGCACGTCGACCGGAGGTAAATCAACATACAAAAGATCTGACGCCTTTGTTGTCCTACAAGCTGAAGGGCCTGCATAAGTGCTTTCGAGTACACACAGCCATAATCTACGGGTTTGATTATAGTTGTCTGTCCCGGGCCGCCGCATGACGATGATCATTTTCTGTCCTCTCGTCTCAACAACGTAAGGGCGACAACGGTCACTGAGCACCACACTCAACACACTAAGACTTTAACTTATATTTAAATGGCTCTCAATCATTGTATACAAAGCACTTTAAAATAACAAAATACAAAGTGCGAGACGGATAAAATTTCTCTACGAAACTAAAACGGCGAAGCGGGCACTGCGACTATAGCAGGGGCGCCGGCGACGGTTCATAGCAGGCGGGTGGCCCGCCGGCCAGCGGGCGACAATCATCACAGTGCCGCACCGCCGTCTCTCCCGATCGTCCGGCTTGGACTCGGCACTCACGCGGCGGCGGCGGCGGCGGCGGCGACTCCGCAGTAAAACTAGGCGTCCAAGCGCGCACCAGACGAGCGTCGCCCACCAGCTCAGAAAAAAATAACGCAAGCGTTGTCTACAGAGTCTCTCACGCGGCGTCGGCGCAGGCGGAAAGGGGCCGTCGGCGCGGGCCATCCACCCGGGCACGGATAAATGATCGCTCGTCGTCGCTCGCATCACATGTTCTCCGCCACCGTCGACTCGTACACCTTTTGAAACACGTCCGCGGTCGGCTCGGCCTCGTCGCGGGCGAGGATGACCTCGTCCTCCTCCTCCTGCTCCTCCCGCTCCCGCTCCTCCCCTCCTCCTCCTCCTCCTGCGGCGGCTCCAGGTTATCGTCCGCGTCACGCGGCTCGGGGCTGCCGCCGTTCGTCTCGGCTGGTGCGTTGCCCGGCCGCGGTGCGGCGCCATTGGTGCCGTTGCTGGCCGAGTGGTCCGTGTGCTGCTGCTCCAGTGCTTCGTCCGCGACTCGAGGCCGAAGCCCTCGTCGTAGTTGCCCTTGGTCTTGAACATCTGCTTGAAGTGCGGCGTGCAAAATAGTTTCCCTGCATTAAATGTGTAGGTGTCCATTCTGAAATGAGGACAGACGCGGTCAGCAAACCAAAGCCCAGTGCTCCAACTACTGCCCCTGAAGACGACAAAGCGCGCCAGAAATTTCGCGCGCACCGTATGAACCGCGCCATTATATGTCACGCATACCGCACTGACTTGCGTCAGCGCCCGTTCGTTCGTCCTGCGCACTTCGCACACAACTTGCGGCGTACTTTGTTATAGAGACGTGTCTCAACTGAGTCCCTCATAAAGTCGCGATCCACCACGCGCCCGCGCGGCGCTCCAAACCCAGCATTACATCCGTACATGCCACCGCCACCGCCGGCCCTACCTCAGCACGCAGTTGCACTTTGAACAGCGGAAGCAGTTCTTGTGCAGGATTCGCTTGTCGACCTCGAGCCGCTCCATGGCGTAGACGCGTTTGTTGCAGGCGTCGCACATCTCAGCCGCCTGATTCGGCTCCATCTGGGGACGCCGCCGGGTGTCAGCGCCAGAAGTCACGAGGGTAGAACGTGAGACGTCTCGTGGGGTCTGACAACTAATGCACGGAAGAGGGGACGGATGTAGCTGCAGGGGGAAATAGGTGACTTCCAGAGGACCCCCTCCCGGGGAAGGAATGTGCGCGGATATAGAAATTATTGTACATATATATATATATATATATATATATATATATATATATACAACATATTTAATGCATACATATTAATAACAATATATACCAATAATATATATATATATATATATATATATATATGAATGTTATATTATATATAGAAAGATAGAGATATATGTATATCATATGTGATATATGGTATGAAGTCGCACCGAATCACTGAACGACATTCGGGCTCGGGCGGACTAAAGGCGCGGGGAATAACGTCACTCTTGATAAGAAGTGGGAAGACCATGACAGGTATCGCTACGGGTTATCAAGCCGCGAAGCTGAACGCCAACTCGGGCGCAAGCGGCAGGAACACAAGGGCGAGGGTGGATTCAAATTGAACAAAAAAGTTCTTGCAAACGGCACAGCAAGAATCTCAAAACGCACTTGGTTTTGAAACACCGGGGACACAACCACACCTGATACACCCAGCAGACAGAACGACCCACACGAACGCAGAACACAACGCTCGTCTCAGCTGCAAGCCGCCGATACGGAACGTTCGCACCTGAAAATGCCCAACAGGAAAGCGCAGGCAATTCTAGTACCGTAGTTAGCTAACAGCTGAGTCAGAGCCAACAGGGCGGATGGGCCTCGAGCTCATGCCACCGGCCCGCGCGTCACGTGACCACGTGCGTACTCGGCGGTACGGTCACGTGTCACCAGTCTGAAACAAGCTGAGGGCTACGGCTACAGGTGTCGGGTGAAGGGTTAGAGCATGCGGGAGGCGCGCTCAGAAACAACTTACTTGTCTGTTACCCGTCCCCGTCTGTCTGGAAATCTGTCGTGCAGTTGTCAGAAAGCTGTCGAGAGTGCAAGGAATGTGCAGATATGTTGTATTAGAAAGGCACGCATTTACAGATGGCGCTGTGTCCAGTTGCGAAAGTGCCAGAAAGCGCGAACGCGAAGAGAGGCGCAGCGATATTAGCGGCTTATCGTAGCGCGCAACAACCATGAACATGTTTAACCGTCTCGCTTCCACACAACGACACACAACACTCGAACAACACTCGCAGCGTCCGCGTCTGCACAGTTTGGTCCCACGCCAAGCGCCGTCCGACATCCCGTCATCTACGCCCGCAGCGCGCCCTGGCGGCGCGTCCAACAGTCGGAGCGGACGCCGGTGGGGCGCGCTGCGGCGGCGGCCGCGCGGGAGCGGCGTGCGGCGTTCACTGGGGGGCCAACAGACCGGGTCAGCCCAGCGGAGGGGCGCCGGCAGGGGGCGCTCGCGCCACTGCAAGCCGGGTCAGGGTCGTCCGTCGAAGCGAAGGTTTGAACGAAGGATATAAATGGCGAATCAATCACAACTCTTAGGACACATCTTGAACACTAATTATACAACTATCTGAATAGTTTGCAGTTATTCACACAGAATATTGTTTTAAATAAATAAGTTGATATATATATATATATATATATATATATATATATATATATATATATATATATATATATATATATATATATATATATATACGTAGATAGACCGTACGGTATTTTGTCCCGACGACTTTTTGTTTGCTAACATTAGCTCTTTATTCTGTAACTTTTTGCAACGTGCTGGCCTCAACGTCAGCCCTACAGAAGTGCGGTATACTTGTTTGACGTGACACTTCAGAGTCATTTCAGACAGTCTGCATGACAGCTCTTGGGAAGAAAATACTTGAAAACTCAGGGTGGAATGCTGGGAGCGAGTTGTGCAAAATGGTGTTTTTATCAAATATGAGACTGACCTGGCGTCGGTTACAATTGTATCGCGCTTAGTCATCGCAAGACCCAAAGCGCCGGTCACTACAACACTCCAAACACAACCACGATATTGTTACGGTTAATACCAATCATACCGCATATCATTTTAACTGCACGCGTCTATATAGCAATTTACACACGGCGGCGTGGATTATTTCAAGCGTTAGACAGTCCCGTCCTGCTACCGCCACCTACGGTTAGCCACCGCACTGTACAGCTGTGAGACGAGCAGGCGTATTAGTAAACGCCTATTAATCGCTAATCCAGTGGCGACTCCGGTCCACGGGGCTTTCTGGAATGACACAGAGCACACCGACACACACGACTAGAGCACGTCACGTGGGAAGCTGACGCCCAGGCCGGGTGACGCCCCACAGGGCTGACCGCTGGCGGCCCGGCCCGCTGCTCCTCAGGTGACGATCAGTGCCAGGCAATACAGCGCAAAGCCCAGCACGCAGCGGCGCCGGCCGCCTGCAACCCCGGCACCGTCCGACTGAGCGACTACAGCCCCGGCACGACTGCAACCGACTGCAAACCCGGCACCGTCCGACGAGCCAGCACCCGCACCTAGCCTCTGCCACGTCAGTCTCTGTCCTGGCTTTGTAGCGAGCAGCAGATCTTCACGATTTGGAAGGATTCGCTAACGTGCATTTGGATGGCTTTTCAAGACCAGGGGAGCACGGATCGGTTCGCTAGGCACGACGACGGGTGGCGCGGTTCGGACACAGTCGGTTGGCGAGTGGCCACAGCCAGATCAGGCCAGTCAGATCAGGAGATCGCCGTCCGCGGCCGCTGTCGTTGTACATCGATCAGCCCCTTGGAATGCCCGCCGCCCGCCACATGCTTGAAATTCGCACCGGTGCCAGTATTCCCATGACTGACTATCATCAGCCTGCCCGCGGTAATGTGTGTGTGGGGGGGGGGGGGCAGGTCTGCTCCGGTTTGTCCCACGCCTATCCCCAGCCTGACTCCGCAGCCCATCAGACCGCCACATGTCGGGGAGGACCGCCGCTCAGCCAAAGGCACGGAAACACACCACAAAAGCGAGGAAGCAGCGAGTACAAGAGGCGCATGTCACTGCCAAAACACCGGTGACACAGACGGAGGGCTGTCTCCCGCGTGTGACCCACCCGCCCGCCTGCTGGCGCCGGCGACCACTCACGATGAAGCGGCTGGCCCGGTGCTGCGTCTTCTCAGCCGGCTTCTGCGGCTCGTTCAGCGACTCAAACTTGGCGCGCAGACTGCGCGTGATCTCGAGACTGGGCCGACAATCGTCCTCCACAGTGAACTTGTCGTCGCGGCCGGCCGGCGGGCCCCAGCTCTCGAACTTGTCCCGCAGCGAGCGAGCCTGGTCCGTGCGCTGCCGGCGGGAGGGAGATCAGGGCGGCCTTACGGAACAGGGGGGGGGGGGGAGATTAGGGGTACGGGCGTCGCCGCGGCGACTGACTCGGGCATTGACGCGAGCTCAGAATTAGAGTGCGTCGGCTTTGATCGTCTTACGGGTAAGCCCAACACAACGACATATATCATCAATAGCTGCCATGATTTCCAAAAGAAAGCGGAGATCGCGTACAACCCCACATTCCACTGGTCACGTACCTATATTCCTGCATGCCTGCATGTAACGCATTCTTCGCGACCACAACCTCTGTTGCGGCCGACCCACCCGCCTGCGAGGTGGCTTCCCCCCCCCCTCCGAAATTCCCTAACTACAGACGCTATCTCACCTTGTTGAGAAACTCGTCGGGCACCTTGTGACTGGCACGGATGATGTCGGGGTCCTCCGGCTCCTCCTCGCTGTCCTCAGCCGCGTTCTCTGGCTCGGCCGGCTCCTCCGGCGGTGGCGTGAACGACTTGAGCGGGCGCGGGCCTGCGCCGCGCACAACACTGTCACGCTCGTGCGCGGCTGGCAGCGGCGGTCGAGAAGAGCACGCGGTTTGAGCCTTCATGGCTACACGTGCACGAAAACAATCTGCTCCCCGTCACGTAAACATCCAGCCATTCGCACAAACACGGTACACACAAATTCAACCCATGAAATCCGTTTTTTATGGAAAACGACGAGAGACATTCCCGCAAATCAGCTTTATTTAGAGTGCTTTCACCTTGACCAGTAACGTCACCGGTGAGAAAGTGCCAAGCCAAACTGTACCAAATCGCATGCATGTGAGATTGCTGTGGGACGACCACGGCTTTTATCGGCTTGGGCTGCAGTGTCTTTAGAAGCCTCACCGTCCGGCAGGTCTTCCTTATGCGCATCTTCCTCCATCTGTCGGAACTTGGACAGGATCTGACGAGCGTTACCGTGCGCCTTCTCGCGATTCAGGCTCAGCTCTGTGACGTCACATGTGCGACCAACCAATCAGAAGTGAACAAAATCACGACATGCGAGGCGATGCCAGGAAGCACAACAAATACGCCATGCATTTAGAAATATCTCCTGCTTATGATGCCGCGAGGCTTTTACAATCAATGCCCACGGTAGAAATCAAGCATACGCAAAGTTTGAGACACTTGCATTTCGCTGAGTGGCCGATCTCACAAGCCACAGAACTGTAACAAGCGACGCGTAACATTCAGGGCACCGCAAATCAGGTTCAGATAGTGGGGGCCATACCTTCAGCTGCATAAGCATGCTTACTCTCCAAGCGGGTGCGGGCGAAGGATACACTGACCAACTAAAGAGCCAAGCAAACTAGAGGAACCGTATGTGAATTGATCTACCAGGTTCAAAAGGCTTTTTCGTATCTCTGGCCGGCTTTGGAGCGACTCTTTTCTTTTTGTTCTGCAGGCCCATGAAAGCCTGGACACGCTCCTGAACTGTTTTGACTTCGTTTTCCTTAGCTGCGTTGAGAACAGAAGGCTGGCTGTCGTTTCAAATGGTGCTGACACGGTACAACCAACCGAGAAGCGATCTTAACGCATTGAAAACAGAAAAGTCATGACAGACCATAACAACACCAGTAACAATAGCAAGCAGTGCGAATTATCATATTCTTTTTCGTTTTACACTACAGATGCATCTAAAAACCCAGATTATCTGTGCTAACCCTCAAAAGCGCTGTCAGACTCATGCGAGTCCCTCGACAGAGCCAACCCCAGCTCGACATACCTTCATCTGTGTTGCCGGTGCTCTGCTCCATCTGCTTGAACTTGCTCAGCATGCGTTTGGTGGTGTCGCTGTGCAGCAGCTCCGGGTCGGCGACCGGGGCCTCCATGACGGCCTGACCGTCCGGCGAGTCCCCCTGCGTCCGTACAGGTCAGCGGTCAGCACAGGTCACACAGATCAGCGGTCAACAGAGGTCAGTGGTCAGCACAGGTCAGCGATCAGCACAGGTCAACACAGATCAGCGGTCAGCACAGATCAGCGGTCAGTACAGGTCAGCAGACAGCGTCAACACAGGTCAGCGGTCAGCACAGGTCGTGGTCAGCGGTCAGTACATCAGCGGTCAGCGCAGGTGAAGCGGTCAACAGAGGTCAGTGGTCAGCACAGGTCTGTGGTCAGCGGTCAGTACAGGTCAGCGGTCAGCGCAGGTGAAGCGGTCAACAGAGGCCAGTGGTCAGCACAGGTCTGTGGTCAGCGGTCAGCACAGGTCAGCGGTCAGCGCAGGTGACGCGGTCCGCCGGCCGACCGGCCAGGCCGCGGGCCGGTGTACACGACAGACCGGCAGTCCTGGTGCACCGCGCCCACAGTACCAGAAACGGCGGCGCTATCGGAGGCTTAGCGGCCCGCTAATCGCAGCAGCTGATATAATGCCGATAGCACAGCGGTTCTGCCAGCGGCAGGATAGGCCTCTGCTAAGGAGCGGCAAGTCTATGGCACGCTTCGGTACACGCCCCACTTGACACTCACTGCACAGAACTGCGCGGCTGATTTTGGATGGCTCTCTATATACACGTGTTTCATCCAACGGGAGTGAAGCGGTCACAAATTTGACAGTGCTCGTTGGGTTATTAGCTTGCTGGCGAGTCGTAAAGGCCAGTTACCCCCATGCATCGAGGGGACAGACACTAGCGATAGACTACAAAAAGGCAGACGAGGTGTCTTCTGGAGCTTCTGTGAAAGGCAGCTAGCGAGAGGAATGCATCTAGCCAACTTACCACACGACCAAGAGGGCGAAGCCATAAAAGTACCAACACTACAGCACTCCAAAACTTCACGCAGCGGACAGCAAACAAGTGCTTCGCGGTCAGAAGGGCCAGAAGTGTGTGCGGAGAGGGTGCCGCGGCAAAAACGGCCGCAGTCAGAAAAAAAAACGCCACGAGCGAGCGACAGGAGTGAGCCGGCGCCGCCGCCGGTGAGGTGGCTGCCGGTCAGCACCTTGGCGTTGTGCGCGCGCGGCGGGGTGGCCCTGAACGAGCGGGCGCGCCGCGGCTCGCCCTGCCGTAGACCCTCGAAGAACTGGAACCGACTGGAGATGGCCGAGTTGGGCGCCACGACGTCGCCGCGCCGGCCGGGCCTCTTGGCCCAACACTGCGGGGAGTTCTGCAAGGCGCCAGGGCCAGCTGACGCCGGACAGCGGGTGGGCAGGTGGCCACCACCGGGACGGTACCAGCGGGTGGACAGGTGGCCGCCACCCGGACAGTACCAGCGGAAGGGCAGGTGGCCGCACCGGCCGGTAGCGGGTGGACAGGTGGCCGCCACCCGGACGGTACCGGCGGGGGCAGGTGACCACCATGGGGACGGTACCAGCGGGTGGACAGGTGGCCGCCACCCGGGCCGGTAGCAGCGGGTGGCTACCACGCGGTGGGCGATGTCAGGATTATCGGCGAGGAGCACGCCCGAGCGACGTCCTAAGCTGCAGCCGTCCACCGCCTACTTCTCGGCATGCCTCGAGCGCACCGTCGCCATCTCTGCACCAGGCGAGGGCAGAGTGTGCAAAAGAAACCATGTCGCAAGTTCATAACGCAGAATCTTATTGACACGGAGACGATACACAGGAGGCTTCCACTGCACGCACTCTCCCGTCACCAGCAAGTGTCCGCGCCGGTGGACGACACCAGGACGTCTCAGTTGACAGCGGCCGCGTGCGTTGGCGGCGGGGCCGGCGCTGCGCGGGCTGCTGCCGGCCGGGCGGCACAGCGACGGAGGGCGGTCGGTGCACACTTACCCTGGCGAGCTCGCTGCCGCCGGCGTCCGACGACAGGCTGGCGAGGGCTGACTCTCCTGCCGCCGAGCTCTGGTCGTGGGCCAGCGAGTGGCCGTTGTGACTGCCGCCTGCAGCGAGGTGGAGCGGGCGTGTCAGCCGGGGCCGGGACAAGTCACGCCAGACCACGGCCGGTCAGGTGACGCCGCAGGCAGCCCGCGGAGCACAGGACGACACGAAGCGCTACTCACTCAACGGCAGCTGTGCAGGGTCTGAGCCTCAAGACGACGGGGTAGACGGGCACCGATAACGCAGCTTTAGATAGCGCGGGCCGGTTACGATGACGTCGACCGTGCCTGCCCACTCCAGATTTGAAGCTTATTAACCGCGTCCGTGTGGGCTTAGTGACTAACCGCCACCTCGCAGTTCTGCGCGCACACCCTGGCCGAGCCCTGCGTGTCGTGTGCAGCCGCCGGCTTGGCGCTGGCGCCGCCGCAGCCGTCCGTACCGTTCTCGTGACGGCCGGCGCGTCGGCGTCGGCGTCGGTCTCCGCGGACGCCGCACGTCGCCGCGCTCGAAGCGGGACGCCATGTCGGGCCGCCCTGCGGCGCGTCACGGCCTCGTGGTCGCGCGCCGCCCGCCGGCCGCGGCGAGCCGGACTCCTGCACCGCCCGCTCGTATGAGGCCCGCAGGTTAGCCCTGGCGGTCGGTCCGGACACCGAGGTCAGCGAGGGCGAGAGCGCTCCACCATCGAGCGCTGTCAGCTGGACAGGCGCTTACGAGGAGCGACTAACGCAGCGCGCAGCCGAGTTGTAGACGAGCCGAAGACAAGCACAGTTCTTATAGTCGCCAAACCATTCGATGCTATGATACAGGGTGGGATTCAAAATCAATTACACGGAGTGGAAAAATAAGCCATCCTCGGCCAGCAATACACGAGAGAGAGTTGTGTGAAGAGGTATATATATATATATATATATATATATATATATATATATATATATACCAGCTTGAAGCAGGTTTTTAACTGTAGATAAACATCTACGAACGCCCAATGACTAATGAACGGCGTGCGAACAGAACGCAACAACAAACAAACCAACATCACTGAATAAGCACTGGCAGCAAGTACTCACCAAGAGTTCTGCAGACAGGACAGCCCAGCACCGTCACGTGTTACATGGGCACCACAGCTGAAGACCCACCCGGCGTGCATGGCGTCAGCTGAGTACGTCTATGTTAGTCTGCTGGTGGTACGACGCAGTGCGATAACACGCACCGGCGCCGCACCCGCCTCAGGAGGCGCACGTCACACGTTTAAGAAGTATCGTTATTAGCGACGACGGAAAGAGCATCGTAAGTGTCCTTGTCATGAAATGTCAATGAGGTTCCACACAGCGATGCTCTACAGCAAGGCTCGTCCCAAGAAGCCTCCTCTGCTGCAGCTACAGCACGTCCGGCTTCCAGGACGCTGTGCTGTTACAGCGGGGTCACCACACTGGCCAATGAGGCGAGGTGTCGCGCGCCAATACTGTGGGTGAGGCACCGAACCACGGCTCAGGCCGTTGAAGTACCCTGCGCGCCTTCTGCACGGAACGGCACCACCGGCCCCCGCATGAGACTCCGCGCATGTGGGCCGTAGTGCACCTGCTTCTGGAGCCCGCTGTACAGATATTACGAAAGACTGCCGCCACCTCCTCATTGAGCAGTACGGCGGATAGGGGCGAGTTCCCGCTACCGTGACCTTTTAGAGGGTCCAGCACCGCCACCGTACAACCATGCGACACCTGCGAGCCTGGTCTACCGAGTGTGGGTCATGCGGCACCCGACGTACTCTACTACGCTGACGACGAGGATCGGGTCCTCCCAGAGAGCGTCGGCTCTCGGCCTGGGCCTCCTGCTCCCTCAGGGCCCTCCTCGGTAAGCCACGCTTGTGTTCGCGCGCCTACGGGCAGGGGCGGCCGCTCAGGCGCGCTCGACGCCCGGCGCTCGGCCGGCGCGGGCTGGCGCATGCATGCAGCCGCGCACGAGCTACAAAGCCACGCGCACCGGACGACGCGGCAACCAAACGGAAATGCAAACATGCACAGGGTTCTGATGAGCTTCATGATGGGACCATGGCGTCGCCAATGGTCACACCACCATCTCGAATGAATTAAGAGGGACGCCGTGTCCCACGTCGATGTGCCGCCCCCACATCCACTCACTGAGCAGAGCGGCCGCTTCACGGGCGTGTGCTCAGTGACCGGCCCCGCCCTGCCACACACCTCCCAGCGCGCCGCGGGTCAGTCGACACAGCACCGAGACGGACATGCCGGCGCGGCGGCCGCCACACTCACGCCGCAGATCATGCCGCCGCAGCTTGGTCTGCTCGCCCTTGTCGTCGGGCGTGGGCTCGCGGCGGCCGCCCTCCGCAACCGGCTCTCACGTCTCCAGGCCGGAGAAGCTGATGGGCCGCTCGCCGCCGCGTCTTGCTGGTGGAGCGCAACCAGGTCCGGGTCGCGCCGCTGCTCGTCGCCAGAGTCCGCCGACCTCGCGCCGGAGGCCGAGTCCGCGTCCCGCGCCGAGTCACGCTCCTGGAACCTGGTGGTCGGGCAACGTCACTAGTGCTGCCGCGGCCGGCCGCCAGGCGGAACTGCGGCGCTGGTATTGCGCCGGACGGGGGGTTGCAGATCGGGACGCGTAGCAACACTGTGGGGACAAACTTCGGCAGGTCAATTTAGAGAGCAGTACCAGAAACTCAGAACAAACTCAGTAAAACCAGTAAGAAGCATCTCTGACATGATACATAACACGAAATGAAACATCGGTTCATCGTAATCGGAGGAACGAATATGATGAACTAAACACGAGAGTGCGGCTTCCCCATCGCGGGCATAATTGAGCAAAATGCCACACAGATGGTATGGCATTGCATACTGCAAGTACCGGATATTCGGGGCGTACCTCTTCATTTTGTTGGTGAGGATGCTCTGCGAGCGCTTGACCTCGACTGAGGCCAGGCCCTTCTCCTGGTCGTCCTCATTGGTGCGCTCGAACACCGAGAAGCGGTCCTTAACGTTCAGATTCTGCAGGTCCTCCAGTCCATAGTCCGCCTTGTTCGAAGCTGAAAGGAAGGAGCACGCTGGCTTGAGTTGTGACATTCGTCGCGACAGAAAGGGAACACTACCCAACATGCTCACTGCTGAAGACGAGCCGCTCACCACCAACAAAGTGCGCCACCTAGCTACGCTCCGGGCCGAGGCCGATTCCAGATAGCACACCACCTGCACGACAAGTAGCCGTGGACAGGATCGAGCCCACTACACAGGCCGGAACAGAACGAAGGTAGCGGTCCTTCTCGTGGATGGCACCGCCAGAAACAGCTCCCATCAGCTTTTACGTTTCCACCCCACGACTGAACGTGAGGCCGTGCGTGCGGGATCCGCCGCCGAACTTCAGGCCTCGGAAATGGGCCGTCCCGACATCACTCTGCCATCCTTCCAGAACCTCATCACGTCTGTCAACTTGGCATGCCCTTCCACTCCGAAGTCGCGCGAGCCATCAGCCGGGCGCCGCCTGGAGCAGCGGCACGACCTTGGGCCGGTGACACGGCCGTCGGCGGCGCGTGCGTCGACAGCGGGTGCCCCTCCGCGGCACGCGCCACCGACGCGCCGTGCCGGGCCGTGCCGGCGGCGGGCCCCTTACGAATTCATCGCCGCCTCCTCCCGACGCGAGCGGCTCGGGGAGGTGGTGCCGGTCGGCGACCGGCCTTCCCGTCTCACGCGGAAGGAGCGTGCGCTTCTGCAGGCTAATTAGAGCGCCGCCAGCGGGTGCCGCTCCGACTCGCATCCGGGACACTCTGCTGGGCTTTTAGCGACGCAACGTCGCCTCAAGAGAGCAGGAGCGCGTGGGCGTGTGGGGTATGGTTCCGTGATTGGCTGGAAAGTCCGCCCGTTTAGCCCCAGGTCCCAGTCGTGCGCGGATCAGCAAGTAGAGGTTTAGGGACCAAAGAGCGACAGACAAAAGACCAGTCAGTTTAGCCACGTTTCAAACGGCGTGACCCAGTGATCAAATGACATCCGTCAGCGCCGAAACGAGACAGCTAAGGACCAGTGGTAGCCGACGGTGACCGAAATAACTAACAATGGGGCGACGCGCCGAGCCGCCAGCGCCCGCCGCCGCAGGGGGCTGGGGAACGCCGCCCCTCGGCAGTCAAACTCGACCCGACCAAGTCGTGACATGAGGCCGCCAAACACGGGGCGTGACTGACTGCACACCAGAACTGATCAGCACACCGGTCTGGCACGACCAGAAATGCATTGTCGATGGATAGCGGCTCAATGACAGTCCACTGCTGGTCATTACCTTCTTTTGGACAAGTGTTTAGGCCACATACGAGGTGACTACACTGGTCCGCGTAAAACAGCCTGGCTTATCAATCACCGGTGAAGCAAGGAATTTGGAAGCCCAATGATTTGGAGATTCTCATGCGGAACATGGGCAAAGCAAGGATCTGATAAGCTCGCTGATTTCTCCGTATTCTTTTCTGCATCAGTGTACCGTGACTGAACCGTGATTATTCCCAAGAGGCAGCCGGTAGCCATGTGGAACAGCCCAAAATTAAAGGAAGCGCCAGCGATGAATAATTTACAGGCACTCAGCGTCGGCGGCCCTGCACGCATCCCCGGGCCGTATCTGTGAGCCTGCACAGTACTGGGACTGCATCACAGCACCGGGACTGCATCACCAGCGCCGGTACTGCATCACAGCGTCAGAACGTCCGAACCGCCCTAGCGTTTGACTGCATTACAGTACCGAGCCTCCATCACAGCGCCCGGACTGCATGACAGCACCGGGACTACATGACAGCACCGGGACTGCATCACAGCACCACGACTGCACCACAGCGCCGGTTCTGCATCCCAGCGTCAGAAACGTCGGAACCGCTCTAGCGTTTGACTGCATTACAGTACCGAGCCTTCATTACAGCGCCGGGACCGCATTACAGCGCCGCGACTGCATCAACAGCGCCGGGACTGCACCACCGCGCCGGGACTGCATCACAGTATCGGGACTGCATCACAGCGCCGGGACTGCATCCCAGCGTCAGAACGTCGGAACCACTCTAGCGTTTGACTGCATTACAGTACCGAGCCTTCATCACAGCGTCGGAACTGCATTACAGCGCCGCGACTGCATCACGGCACCGGGACTGCATCACCGCGCCGCGACTACATCACAGCGTCAGAACGTCGAAACTGCACCTGCTTCGGACCGCTGCATAGCACCGGGACTGTTTCGGGGCGGGTCGGGCGCCGCAGCCAGGCCAGCCGGACCAGCGCTGCGTTAACACGGCGAGAGACGGACCGGACCGGGCCGGCACCTGTCGCGCGGCGTCTGCGGCGCGGGCGCGACAGTGGCGCAGATGCGGCGGCCGGCCGCTAACGGAGACTGATCCGCCGCTCATTCACGGCCTGATCGGCGAGACGGGTCTGGAGCGGTGTCGGCCGCCGCCGCCGCGCCGGGCGCTGGCCGAGATAAACGGGGCGGCGGAGGAAGATGGGCCTCACGCGGATCTACCCAGCTTGTAAATGTGACGAAGACAAACCAATACATGCAAAGGACGGCTGGGAGGAAGTGCAATGCTTGGCTACGGTGCCTCATTGGACATGACCGCAGAATGGGTGCACATCCAGCGTATCGTAGGTGGGACGAATGCTACTGTCCTGGATGCAGTACATCCCGGACCGATTCATCCGGGGATGCCATGGCTGATCCGATAGAATTCCCAGCTATGCTCAGTCGGACTGACTGGGTACTATGGCATGGTCGACCGACCGAACAGATGGTGAAATATCACGAAAAGGAGTGACCGAGTTCATAGTAAGACGTGGAGTCAAAGCTTCGCAGACACAGCGAGCAGTAAACTGGACGCGGTGAACGGAGCCGGTGCCAGCGCTGTCACCTGACCAGCTGCAGTTGACTGACCCCATCGGTGACCGTAACCGCACGCGCCGTCCACGTCTTCGGCGTGAGCGTCGTGACCTGGTCGCCCTGGTGCCGTGATCACTAGCTTGGCGATCACTCCATCAGACATCACGAACATCAGGAAAGTGGCGAAGTAGACCCTTTGCACCGCAGGAGCTCCACTGACGCCGCTCGGGATAACAATCCATTCCGTCAACAGTTCAATGGGGCAATGGAAGCGAACGGGAAACGTGCCGTTATGACATTTCCAAAATCATAGGTTGTTCAGTGCATTAGCGAGGAACATTATTATAACATAGATAAGCCAGTGGTATTAGCCTCATTCCTCGGAGAAAAACCAGGAGAATGGAGATATAGTTGGGTTGATATTTTGGCAACAACATGCCTTCATCGAAACAATAGCCGAAGCTGACTTCTGCTATTGTTTCGATAAAGGCCTTTGGCCGAATTTTCAACCCAACTATATCCCTTTCTCCTGGTTTTTCTTCGAGGAATAAGGCTAATACTACTGTTTTATCAATTTCCAAGGCCGGGCTCATGCATGGTAGCGCAGATTGTTGTGACATCCTTTTCTGCATCTGTTTGGTCCTCGCCATTCTACCACTCCAAACGGCGTCGTATCTTGGGTGTACGATCATGCCCGCCATAAGTCATTTAACGACGGCCCGCTTGAACGCAACAGCTGGCAAGGGACATGGTAATTCGCCACCAACTCCTGGCAGGTGACCACAACGAGGGGCAGGCTGGCCACATCCGCACGTGCTGCCGCCCAAATCGACCGAGCCCGCGGCCGTTTTTGCCAGTTTTCGCCGGCGCGGCTGGCGCCGGCTGGTCCCGGCTGGCCGCCGCGGCGCCCGGCTGTGCGGCCGCCGCGGCAGCCGTGTTACTTTCTGAGCGGTCTGACCGAACAACACCATCTGCGCCGACCGCGGCCGGGCGCCCGTGGCCAAAACGCCCCGGGAAGTGGCGCGTCAGCGGCAGATGCGACGCCGCCGCGCCGCTACTAACGGAGGCGGCATCTGACCAGAGCGGTGCCACACGCGCCGCCCGGCTTTGGGACGCGCACTTGAATGGGGTTAAAACACAGCTGGGCCGGAGAAAACGGAGAACACGGCACCGGGCCGCTGACAGCACCTGCCACAGTGGCGGCCGTCGGTGAATGGTTCACAAATCGACGATAGGATCGGGAGAATGACTTCGATGTCATCACGTGGCCAATAAAAATTATGCGAAGCCGGGGAGAAAAAGGTCCTTGGACAAGCCACGGTCAGATGCTACGAATTAGCTGCAGAGAAGTCACTGGGATCACGTGCACACGCCGATCTGGCTGAGAAAAAAAGTAATATACCCAATGCACTGCATTGCTGTGTTGCAGATAAACCGATCCTCTAATCCGGCAGTGAGCATCAGCCATAACCGGATATGACAGCAGGACGAACAAATGCGCGCATAGTCTAGGCGGGAATGTTGTTGAAAGTCAGTCGAGCCGCTCGATAGGTTCCTCTGACTAGCGTCAAAAATGATATCACTCCTTTTACTCTTATAATCGTGTAATAGCATGGCGGGGGGGATGGCACTTGCTCACATCGGCTCGGAGGGGGGGGGGGGGGGCTAGCCGATAAGGTTGATCTTACGTACCCCAAGAACGCGATGTCTCCCGGATTGCGGTCACGTAAATTTGCGTTTTCGATGTCAATGATTACCAATGCTGTTTTTTCGATCAGCCTGTGGCACGCTCACTTTGTGTCCATTTTCAAGTTAAGTTCCCCTCCCATTGCAAGATCTTGCACCCCCCTGTTAACAATACATCAAGTACACGAATAAGTCGTGATATACAATAAAGTGAAACAAACAAATTGCTTCTATGTGCAACTCCCGTTTATAGATGGCGAACTGCGAAGACAGGTGAATGCGACCGGCCACCTTTTACTACTTAAATGCTGCTGCATATTGTATTGCGGTGCTCCTTTGTCCCGATCCATGCGTTATCGCGTGAAAAGCCTGCCAGTAAGTTCAGACTGATATAACATATTACGGAATCGGCCTGACGAAAGCTGATAAGGTACCTATAGGACACTATGCGGTTAAAACTCACAAAACAAGAAGACTAATAGTGATGTCTTAGGAAGCTATTGT